AGAGACCGGGTAGGCCAGAAGAGGGCATCAGATCCCTTAGGATTGGAGTTACAGGCAGTTACGAGCGTCATACCTGAGCTGGGAATCAAACCCAGCTCCTCTGGAAGAGCAGCCAGAGCTCCTAACAACTGGGCCATCTCTCCAACTCCTTATCCCCGCCACCAAGACAGACTTTCTCTGTGTGGCCCTGGCTGTCCTGTGTCCTGGAACTTACCTTGTAGACCAGGCTGGCCTTGAACTCAGAGGTCTACCTGGCTTTGCCTCCTGAGTGCTGGGATTAAATGCGTGCACTACTGCCACCTGGCTTAATTTTTTTTTTTTTGGTTTTACAAGACAGGGTTTCTCTATATTGTTTTGGAGCCTGTCGGTCCAGCCCGGCCTCGAACTCACAGAGATCCGCCTGCCTCTGCCTCCCGAGTGCTGGGATTAAAGGTGTGTGCCACCACCGCCCGGCTTGGCTTAATTTTTTTAAAAGAATTTATTTGTATTATTTTTAACTGTGTGCCCGTGTGTGTATAAGCATTGGAGTGCAGGCTCCCGAGAAGGCCAAGGTGTTGGAGTCACAGGTGCTTGTGGACTGCCAGATGCGGGTGCTGGGAACCCACCTTGGATATTCTGGAAGAGCAGTAAATGCTCTTAACTGATGAGTCATCTCTCCAGTCCTTTGCTCTTATGGAGACAGGGTCTCAATATGTAGACCACGATGGCGTGGAGCTCTCCATATAGACTAGGCTAGCCTTAAACTCTCACAGACCCGCCTGCCTCAGCCTCATTAAGTGTGCACCACCACACTCTGCTTGGCTTTGGGGTTCGCTAGAGATGAATTTGTAGATGGATCACTTTGGAGTGGCTTGTTGGGATTGTGGGTTATCTGGTAGGAAATAGCAAGAGGGGACAGTTGATAAACTCGGCAGACTGGCCACAGACCTGAGGGAATCCGAAGAACATACTGCTAAGGGGTGGGTGGGTCCAGCAAGAGCAGAAGCCCTGGGGTGGGACTCTGCTTGAAGCCATCTGGCAGCCTCTCCGACGTCCTGGGGTGGAGCCGGGCTGACCTGTGTCTCTTCCGTTCCCAGGAGGTGGCGCTGTCTGGCGCCGAGCTCCCCTGCACCTTGGAGTCAGTGGAGGAGGCGATGAAAAGGCACAGGGATTTTCTCACCACGATGGAGCTGAACCAGCAGAAGATGCAGGTGGCGGTGCAGGCCGCTGAGGGCCTGCTGCGGCAAGGCAACGCCTACGGGGAGCAGGCGCAGGAGGCAGTGGCCCGGCTGCTGGAGAAGTAGGTCCCCAGTTCAGGAACCACCGGAGGAGGGGCCTGGGCATAGTGGAGCCGGGAGGGATACTCCGACCTTTCCTTCCATCCCTAGTTTCTGCTCTTCTGCTTTTCCCTTGTTTCAGCTTCATTCTTTATTCATTTGTCTAGAGTTTCTTGAATTTTTTTTACATCTGTCTGTCTGTCTATGTATCGTGTGTGTGTGTGTGTGTGTGTGTGTGCGTGTGCGTGTGCACGCACGCTTGCTTGCAATAGCACATCGTACACTTGAGGGAGTTAGTCCTCTCCTCCTACCACGTGAGTATGAGGATCCAACTGAGCTTTTCAGGCTTGGTAGCAGACACCTTCAATTCCTGAGTCATTTCAGCCGCCCAGCCCAGAACTTTATATGTAACTGAGGATGACATTGAACGCCTCCACCTACCTCATCCTGGGTCATCATGCCTCTTTTCCAGATAGGGTCTACTGAGCAATGATGGTCTTTAATCCTAGAGCTGGGGTGACAGAGGAGTGGGGATCTCTGTGAGTTCGAGGTCAACGTGATTTACAGAGTGAGTTCCAGGAAAACCAGGGCTACACAGAGAAACTCTTTGTCACAAAGAGAGAGAGAGAGAGAGAGAGAGAGAGAGAGAGAGAGAGAGAGAGAGAGAGAGAGAGGGTCTGTGTAGCGTAGACTGATGCCAAACTCAAAGTAATCCTCCAGCCTCAGGCTCTCAATATGTCCCCACTGCTCCTAGCTTTATCATATTGTTTTATATTTGATTTAATGGCTACTTTGAGAACCACCAGGAGGTAATGAACCCAAAAGACAGAGTTTGGACAGTGAGAATCTCCTTTCTCTAGCCTGACAAAGGGGACTGATTCTGGGTGACAGTGGCCCTATGCCATCCTCCCCCAGATTCCACAGTTCAAGGCTACCCGGAGATGTGACCCAGCTTTCCTGAGAGTTGCTCCTGTCTCCCGCCATGTTGGTTGACAAATACGTTGAGTAAGATCAGAGGCAGAGAACTTGAAGGGCCAGTGGGAGCCCACAGGGATCGTGCGTCCCAGTTCTTAGCTGACTGATGCAAGGATGGAGACAGATCTCTCCTGAACCTCTCCAGCCCCCAGAATATTTACTTGACAGGGGACACATTGCTACCCTGTAGGGTGGGTGAAGGCTGTCCCACAAGGTGGATAAGCTGTGCAGTTGGCATATTAGTCTGCCTGCCTTACTGTGCCATGTGCCCATAGATTCAGAGGGATCTGTCTGTCTTGGGGGAAGGGGGAAGGGAGCAGAGCTGAGTGTCATGGCAGATGAGGCAGCAGAGGAAAAGGAATTGCTGAGATTTTCTCATACAGGTGCCTGATGCCCAAGAAGGTCAGAAGAGGGCGTCAGATTCCTCTGGAACTGATTTTCCAGTTGGTCATGAGCAGGCATGTTGGTGCTGGGAACCTAACCCGGATTCCCTGCAAGAGGAACAAATGCTCTTAACTGACCAACCATCTCTCCAGCCATCCTTTTACTTGGATTTTGGGTCTCCTTGCTTCTGTTTTTGTTTTGAAACAGGGTCTCAGGTAGCCCAGACTGGCCCAGAACTCACTAGATAGCCAAGGATGACCTCAAGCTTCCTGTTCTCCCGTCTCTGTAGTTGGATTACAGGTGTGTACCACCACAGCCATTGGAGGGTGCTGGAGAGGGAACCCAGGGCTTTGTGCATGCCAGACAGGCACCTCATCAACCCAGCTTCATCCCCACCAAATAACTCTCCTTAGCTGCATTTTGCTTATGAGACTCCAGAAGGGAGATGATTTGTTCAGTGTCTTGGCCAGGAAGTGGTACAGCTGGGGTTGGAACCCCATTCATTCTCTGCGTCACAGAGAGGGGGAAGACTTTCCCACACCGCTTGTCATGGTGTTGTGTCCCGAGTCTCCCCCCACCCCCCACCCCCCAACCCCATCTGGCTTGCAAGTCCTAGTGGCGATGACTGCAGGTTAACTTCTGAGGCATTTCCTGTTTCCTGGCTCCTGGTGAGAGAGAGGGTAGGAAGTAGCTGTCATTGCTGGCCTTTGGGCGCATCCTGCTCTGTCCAAGCTGCTCAGACTCTGGGTCTCTCTAGATGTAGCTCCCACACGCTCTCTCTTTGCCCCTGCATACCCACCTATTTCTATATGTTTCCTGTTCTTTCTCTCCTCAACTTTACTCTTTAAAGAAAGATGTCATCCGCCATCTTTAATGCCCCCCCTTCTCTTGTCAGTAGCCCAGTCTGGCCTCTCTCTCTCTCTCTCTCTCTCTGTCTCTCTCTCTCTCTGTCTGTCTCTCTCTCTGTCTCTCTCTCTCTCTCTGTCTCTGATGCTGACCTTAAACTCCAGACCCTCCAACTCAGGCTCCTAAGAACTGGGTTAATAGATATGGGCCACCATATCCCGTTTTCCCTCTTCTTGGACCTTATGCTTGTTTCATTACTTAGTCCTCTCTGTCTCTCTAGGCTCTCCTACAATCATTTGCTTACACGCTCATTCAAAAAGAACATATTGGGAAACCACAGTATGCCAAGGAGCTCATGGCTGTGAACAAAACAGACAAGCAAACAAACACTTTAAAAACTGCCCTTAGTCTGGGGAGATTGTCGATGGATAAAAAGCTCAAGGTACAAGCGTGAGGACCTGAGTTTTACCCCTAGCACCCAGGTAAAAAGCTAGGTATGAGCCGGGCGTTGGTGGCGCACACCTTTGATCCCAGCACTCGGGAGGCAGAGGCAGGCGGATCTCTGTGAGTTTGAGGCCAGCCTGGTCTACAGGGCAAGGGGGGCAGAGACCTGAGGTGCCAGTCAGCTTAGTCAAATGATGAGCTCCGGGTTAAACGAGAGACATAGTATAAAAAAACAAGATGGAGAGTGGTGGAGGGAGACACTGAAGATTGACTCCCGGCCTGCACATGCACACGCGCACACGCACACGTGCACACACACGCGCACACACAACACTCCTGTTTGTGAAAGTGACGCCCAAAGGACAGGATAGACACCAGAAGGAACAAGCACAACAGGGAGGCAGTGCCAAGCGCCAAGGACAAAGTTAAAGAGGGAAAGTGTCAGGAAATGATCCAGAGGGGCCACAGGAAGCTGGCATTCGACTAGGCCAGTGGCGCTCAGCCACCCCTTGTGGGACCAAACGGCGCTTTCACAGGGGTGAAATCAGAGATCTGCGTTACGATTCATAACAGAAGCAAAATTAAAGCAATGGAAACAATTTCATGGTTGGGGATCAACACAACCTGAGGAACTGTGCTAAAGTGTCACAGCGCTGGGAAGGTTGGGAACCACTGGACTAGACTTTGGGAAGGGTGATTGCCAAGGGTCTGAGGTAAGAGACATGGTTCAACTCACAGCCAGGAGGGCAGCAAGCAGGGTCTTTTTTTGTTTTTGTTTTTGTTTTTCGAGACAGGGTTTCTCTGTGGCTTTGGAGGCTGTCCTGGAACTCACTCTGTAGACCAGGCTGGCCTCGAACTCACAGAGATCCGCCTGCCTCTGCCTCCCAAGTGCTGGGATTAAAGGCGTGCGCCACCAACGCCCGGCCAGCAAGGTCTTGAGTAGAAGAGAAAAACAATAATGGGGGAAAGCAGTAAGTATGTGTGTGCATGCGTGTGTGTGTGCGTGTGCGTGTGTGTGTGTGTGTTCATGTGTAGGGCCTAGAAGTTCAAGAGAGTCTTGGAGGCCAGGGGAAGACAGTGCCATTAAAAAAGAGATTAGTTGCGTTTATTTATTCTGTGTTTGTGTGTGTAAGTGCCGCAGCCTATGTGTGACAACGAGAAAACAATTTGATGAGTCCCAAAGACTGAATGCATCACCAGGCTTGGCCACAGCTCCTTTCCTCCCGGAGCCATCACACTGGCCCAACAGCCTCATTCTTGCTGTCTTCTCTCTGCCTGCATTCTGGGGATGGAGGATGACAGGTTAGACATGCATGTAAGCTGATGGTGTACCACCACTACCAAGCCACACCGCAGCCCCTCACTGGGAGATTCTAGGCAGGGGCTCTACCACTGAGTCCCACCCCCAGCCCCTCACTGGGGGATTCTAGGCAGGGGCTCTACCACTGAGCACAGCCCATCTGTTTCTGTTGCCTTCTCTTCTATTTCTTTCATGTCTCTCCTAGTCTCTTTATTTTCCCCCCATCTCTCTGAGTTTCCCTCATTTCTCTCTGTGTACCTGGAATTGAACATAGGACATCACACATGATAGGCAAGCTGTCTACCTCTGAGATATCTCAGCTCCTAGGACGATGTTTATCCCTCTCCATGGGTCTTTTATTGTTTGTTTTTTTCAAGACAGGGTCTCTCTGTGTGGTCCTGGAACTCGCGCTAGAGTCCAGGCTCTGTAGTCCAGCCTCAAACTCATGAGACTGCCTGCCTCTGCCTCTCAAGTGCTGGGATCTCACCACATTCAGCTTGATTTTGTTTCTAAGTGTCCTTATTCTGTTGTGTTTGTGTGTATATTGTGTGGGTGTGGGTGTGGGGGTATTTGTGCTGTGTGTGTGTATATGTGGTATGTGGTATATGTGTATGTGGTATGTTGTGGTGTTGTGCAGATATATGTGTGGTGTGTGTGTATGTGGCGCATGTGTGGTATGTGGTGTATGGTGTTTTGTGTGTGTGTGTGTGTGGTGTGTGTGTATGGTATGTGGTATATGGTGGTGTGTGTGTTATGTGTGTGTGTATGTATGTGTTGTGTGTGTTGTGTATGTGTGTGTGTGTGGCATGTGGTATATGGCATGTGTGTGTGTTGTGTATGTATGTGTTGTGTGTGTGTATGGCATGTGGTATATGGCGTGTGTGTTGTGTATGTATGTATGACATGTGGTATATGGTGTGTGTGTTGTGTATGTATGTATGTGTGTGTGTATGTATGTATGGCATGTGGTATATAGTGGTGTGTATTGTGTGTGTGTATGACATATGGCATATGGTGTGTGTGTTGTATATGTGTGTGTTGTGTATGTGTGTGTTGTGTGTGTGTGGCAGGTGGTATATGGTGTGTGTGTTGTGTATTTGTGTGTGTATGTGTGTATGGCATGTGGTATATGGCGTGTGTGTGTTGTGTGTGTTGTGTGTGTATGGCATGTGGTATACGGTGTGTGTTGTGTGTGTATGTATGTGTATGTATGTATGGCATGTGGTATATGGCGTGTGTGTTGTGTGTGTATGGCGTATGGTATACGGCGTGTGTTGTGTGTTGTGTGTGTATGGCATGTGGTATATGGTGGTGTGTGTGTATGTATGTGTGTATGTGTATGTGTATGTATGTATGGCATGTGGTATACGGCATGTGTGTGTGTTGTTACATCTCGTGCTTCTCTCTTTCGTTGTCTAGTCTTTATCCCTCTCTCCTCCTTCCTTCTCCACTTTCCTTCCTTCTCTTCCGGCTCCGGAGTCCTGTCCTTCCAGTGTTTCTGCGTCCTTCCCTTTCCCCTGCTTCTACGTAGCTGATGCCCTCCCCTTGCTCTTGCTAGCTCCCTGCTCCCGCGCCCGGCCTCCCTTCAGCCCCTCTCTTCTCCCCAGGAGCCAAGAAAACCAGCTGCGGGCCCAGCAGTGGATGCAGAAGCTCGTGGGCCAGCTTGTGCTGCAGCGCTTCCTTAGGGATTGTCAGGAGGTAGGTGCCCCTCCCCCCCCCCCCCCGGGCCGGGACAGCAGGGTGAGCTTGATCCCTGGTGGGGGCGGGGCCCGGACGCCCCGTCTAAGTGGCTCGAGGACCCATGCTCCCTCTGTGCTGGGAGGAGGCGAGCCGAGTCCTGTGCCAGGGCGCATGCCCCGCAGCTCCGCGTCTGCCCACGTGAGCTCCAGGGAGACAGAAGGGACCCTGGGCTCCCCTGGCAACCGCTGAGTTCGCGCCTACGGTTCCCAGGGAAGGAGCGCTGATCTCACCTTTCTCTAGAGAGGTGTGAATCGCGAGAGACTGCGGGTTGGGGTGGGGGGGAGAGGATGGACCGGTGGCCAGGAGCACTCCTTCATCTCAGATGGTCCCAACTAGAGTCTTCACGGTTATTTGGTTTAGTTAGTCATGGTGCTGGGGACAGGACTCCAGGACTTGATCTCTAGGCAAGGGCTCGGGTTAAATGAGCTCTGCATCCCCAGTCCCTTGATAATTAAGAATCACGTCCCTTCTCCTTCATGCCGTGGGGGTCACAGCTGATAAAAGATGGCCCGACTCCTTTCGGCACTGAAATACTCCTGAAACCCCCCCCCCTGCCTGGCATCCCAAAAAAAAACTCTTATGGACTCGGACCACCCCATAGACATTCTCTTAATTCCCAGAGATGTCTTGGCTCCAAGCTCCCGGATCTGTGTGAGCCAGGACTAGACTTTGCCCCCATGATGAACTGGTACCCGTTTCTTCCAGAAGGTTCTGGAACCAAGTCCTAACCCTCCCAGTTAAAGATCAGGTTTGACTCAGCGTATTGAACACCCATGGCAGACTAGTCCCCACACGCACTGGTCCCCAAACCTTCTCCCCAAAGCGGAGAGAGCCCCGTTAGCGACGGGTCCCTGGTGGCCCACCTTCCCGCTGGAGATGGTACCGGACGGTTCGTGCCCTACTCTCTACCCGCATGTGGCAGTCAGAGGCCGCAGCCTCTTCCGGCTAAAGGTGGCTGAGGATGCCCTCCAAGCCCTCACCACAGTCCACACCCTCACCTAGAGGAAGGAGCTGGGGACCCTGACGCCCCTCCTGCCTTTGGAGTGGCCCTGTCCCCTGGGGTTAGACTGGACCCAGCGGCATTGATCCGAGCTGGACCGGGAGCTACCCGGCCTGGGAGCCGGGAGAAGCCGGGAGAAGCCGGGAGAAGGGGACGGTTCCGCCCCCACCCGGACCGGGGCCCCCCGCAAAGGAGGCGGGCCCGGAGGCAGGCAGGGGGCGCGCGCGGGCGGGCGCGTGGCCGCGGCGCGGGGGCGAGGGAGGGGGCGCGCGCCCGCCGGAGCCGCAGCCGCCGCCGCCGTCGCAGTGGAGGGGCGAGAGCCGGTCCGCCCGCCCGCCGCAGGGACGCTCCTCCAACGCCGCGGCCGCTGCCGCAGGTCTCGGGAGCGCCGGAGGGGAAGGGGGAAGGGAGCGGGGGCGGGGGCGGGGGCGGGCGCGCGCCCCCCGCGGACACGCGCGGGGGAGGGGGCTCGTGCGCGTGCTCGCCAGCCAGGCCCGCGGGAGGGAGGGGCGGAGGCGGCGCGGGGGCGGGCCTGGACCCCCGCCCCGGGGTGGGGTTGGGGGGCGGAGGGACCAGCCCGGGAGCTGTCCGCGGTGCTGGAGCCGCAGCGAGGGGGGGGCAGGGAGCAGGGTGGGGGGCTAGCCTAGGCAAGTCCGCATTTGGCGTGTGGGCGAAGCAGGGGGTCCCAACCTCCTTAAGAGGACGTCCGATTGGCCCTGGTCTTGAGGGAGTCCCAGGTTTTTAGGGTTTCGAGCCTTCGGTCCTTGAGGGGTGCCCAGCGGTCTTGGATGATGGGTGATTCACTTTGGGGTGGGGGCTCTGCCTAGGGAGATGAAGTGTTAGATGTGACCCGGGTCCGAGGGGCTGTGGCTTTCGGAGAGGTCCCCCCGGTTGTGGAGAGCGGCCAGAGGGGACCATCCCTTCAGGGGGCTTCACCTCCGTTAGAGTTTTGCCCTCCCTGTGGGACTCCGGCTGCGTGTGCATCGCTGGGCAGGGAACCGGGGGATTCGGCGTTTGACTTGGCGCGTATGTGTGCGTGGGAGAAGCTGTCCTGGTCCCCTGAGGAGCACTTGCTCTGGGGACGTGGGCTGGGGTGGGGCTTGGCCGGCTCGGGGTTTGTCCTTGAATATGACTGCGTTTGCCTCTCGGGACCGCGGCGTCCGGCCTTTTTTTTTTTTTTTTTTTTTTTTTTCAGGAGGGAGGAGGAGGATCTTGTGACTGGAGGGGGGAGGAGCAAACTGTCCCAGGTTCAGGCTGTAGCTGGGAGGAGATTGTGGCTTCGGGAGCCCAGGGAACTTCTTTCATAAGCGTTTTCCCCCTCCCCAAGTGCTGGAGATGGAACCGTATTCCAGAACTTACTTTTTCGTGCTGAGCGAGCAATCTCTCTGTCCCCCGACTCAGCGCTCACTCTAGTGGAGGAGGGGGTTCAGAAACAGCCCTGGGCTTGCTGTTGTCGGGAGTAATGAGGATGTTCTTGATGTTTGCATCACGGATGCCTTTAGCCTGGGCGGGGTGCTGGATCAGGGGTTTTGGACTGATGCATAATGGGAACCTCACGTTTTGGGGGTAGATTGGGTCTAGGAATCAGAAGGCAGCCTGTTGCTCATATTTTGTGCGTTGGCTGGTCATGATTTTGGGGTAACTGTGGTCTTAGTCAAGGTGCTGGATTTAGGTTTCATTAGAATTTCTGTCCCCAAGGGATGGGTCTCCTCTAGCTTTGAGGCCTAATTATCAGGATGCAAAACATGGAAATAGTTGGTTGTTTGGGTTTGGTTAATCTGACTGTGGGGTGCTGAGACTAGGGTTGGGATTATTCAACCTGTGGAGTAGGTTAAGGACTTTTTAAAAAATTGAATCAACGGGGTCATACTGTGTAGCTCCGGCTGGCCACACACCCAGTCTCCTCCTCTCCCACCCGACCCAATGCTGGGACTGAAAGCATGTACCCCCACGGTAGAGTTAGGGAGTCACATTATAGCCTCCTTTTACATTTTATTTATTTATTTATTTATTTATTTATTTATTTATGGTTTTTCTAGACAGGGTTTCTCTGTGGCTTTGGAGGCTGTCCTGGAACTACCTCTTGTAGACCAGGCTGGCCTCGAACTCACAGAGATCCGCCTGCCTCTGCCTCCGGAGTGCTGGGATTAAAGGCGTGCGCCACCAACGCCCGGCAAAACAAAAACGTGTTTTTTTACTACGTTTATCTACTCATCTTACACATGGCTGTCTCTGGTGCCTCGCCGTCATGCATGTGACAGGGTCTCGGAGGTCTGTTCTCTCCTTCCACCATGTGGGTCCCAGGGGCTGAACTCAGGTGCTCAGGCTTGGCACCAAGTGCCTTTACTCTCTGGGCCGTCTCAGCAGCCTGGGGTCTCGGCTTTGCAGTGGGTGGCACCGGGGCTGGAGGGTCATCTGATTGAAGAGGTCCTTTAAGGGGTTGATTTGCCCTGCAGTGAAAGGAGGGCGGTGGCCCAGACATCCCGCTTTGGTTTCTTGTATGCCGCGGAGGCTGGCAGAGCCCAGGGATGTGGTACTGGGGGACCACATAGGCATCTTTTATCCAAGAAAGGGTTTGAGAGTCCTCGCCGATCCGCCTTTTTGTTGCATGGATTTCCACTTTATCAGACAGGACTCTGACCTGGGGTTCTTTTGAGGGGTGTGGCAGTCTGTGACAGATCGGGAAAGCCACCTCCTGAGCCCTCTTGTCTGCCCTGCACAGCTGGATGGCTGGATCCACGAGAAGATGCTGATGGCTCGAGATGGCACCCGGGAAGACAGCCACAAGCTGCACAAGCGATGGCTCCGGCACCAGGCGTTCATGGCTGAGCTGGCTCAGAATAAGGAGTGGCTGGAGAAGATAGAGAGGGTGAGGGAGGAAGCCCCGCCCCCACCACGCCCTCCGGGAGACACGCCCTCATTTCTGACGTCTTCACCGTGGTCATCCTTCTGGGCTGGCATCCCTCAGCGGGTTCAAGCCCGCGTCCTGTGTGCTTGATTCTAGCCGAGTAACTTGGAGTCTTTATTGTAATCCGAGCCTCAGTTTGCTCATCTGGGCAATGGTCATCATCTCTTCCGATTGCTGCTCAGAGCCTACTGTTTATCAACATTTCTCCCATCTTGTAAACCCGCTGCGCTTTCCTTCACGTCACATAAGCCATCTAGTGTGGAAGGAGGCTGCAGGCACAGCCGGAGAAGCCCTGGTTAAAGTAAAAATTAGGCTTTTTTTTCCAGCCCTGCTTTCAGGGTCTGTAACCAGCTGTGATATCTTAGAGGCCTATGCTGGCCTCCTAGACCCAGGTTTCTTCTTCTTTTCCTGGTTTCTCTTTCTTTCTCTCTTTCTTTCTTTCTTTCTTTCTTTCTTTCTTTCTTTCTTTCTTTCTTTCTTCTTTGCTTGCTTGCTCTGAAATACGGTCTTGCTCTGTAACCTAGGCTAGGCTGGCCTACAATCCAAGACCTTCCTGTCTCTGCCTCCTTAGCTCTGGGTTACAGTCTGGCATCGCCACCCCCAGCTTCTGTTTACTCTTTTGAGTAAAGATCAGAAAATAGGTGGAGTGACCTCTCTGAGTCTCTGAGAGCATGAAGTGTGTGTTAAGCACCAGGCACGTGTGAGACGTGACAAGGCACCCTTTATTAGACATCATTGATTTGTGAGTTTTTTCCCTGGTGCTAGGTAATTGTTGGCTCACCTAGCTGGATTAGGGTCAGCGTTCCTGTATTTGTTATTATAATTTTTATTGTTTCTTTACGGGATAGCTGAATTAGGGTCAGCGGTCCTGTATTTGTTATTATAATTTTTATTGTTTCCTTACGGGAACTGGAACTCAGGACATGCTAGGCTATACTCTACCACTGACCCACAATCCCAGCCCTTTATATTTTCTATTTTACCTTTTTGTTTTGTTTTTTGAGGAAGGATTTCATGTAGGCTCGGCTGGACTCAACTAAGTAGATGAGCCGCTGGTCCTCCTGCCTCCACCTCCCAAGAGCTGGGAAGACAGACATGCACAAACACTTGGCTCTCTTTTTATTTTATCTTGTTTATCTATTTCTGTTATTTGTTGAGACAGAGTCTCAACCAACGATTCCCCTGCCTCTGCTTCTCAAGTGGTGGGATTTTAGGTGTGAGCCCCCATACTAGTTTGGTATTATTATTTTGATTTTTTCCTTTATTGTTATTATCATTATCATTGTTATTATTATTATGGTTTTGGTTTTTGAGACAGGTTTCTTTGAGTAGTCCTGGCTGTCCTGTTATGAGATGTGTTGTTGACCAGGCTGGCCTTGAACTCATAGAGGCCTGCCTGGGCCCCCCAAGTGCTGAGACTGAAGGTGTACAACACCACTGCCTGAATTTATTCATATTTTAGCTTTGTTTTTTTATTTTTGAGGCAGGGTTTCTCTGAGTAGCTTTGGAGCCTGGCCTCAAACTCATTGAGATCTGCCTGCTTCTGCCTCCCGAGTGCTGGGATTAAAGACATATGCCACCACTGCCAAGCCATTTTTTTTTTTTGAGACAGACATCATCATGTCACCTTGGTTGTAGACCAGGCTATGTAGACCAGGCTAACCTCAAACCCACAGAGATGCTCCTGGCTTTACTTCCAAGTGCAGACATTAAAAGCATGTGCCTGATGTTATTAACATGTCACAAATGTAGCTCTGGGCCACCAAGACAGTTGACTTGTTTTGGAAGGGCCTAGGAGGGTACTTGCTTTAAGTATCCACTCCCTAATGTCCCCTTATTCTAAATGGACCCTTAGATCTATAGCCCAGGGCACCCCTGCTTTTCTGATTGAACAGAAACACTCAGGTTCGCTTTATGCCTTAAGTGACCACAGGGACCCCTTAAGGGCAGTGTGTAGCAAAGCCAGTGTTCAGGAACTTGATCTTAACGAAAGTTCATTCTCTCCCTGCCCGCTTTTCCTCACCTTCTCCTGTCCCCTCTCCCTCTTTCCTTGTCTCCTTCCCTCCCCCATCCATCTTTTGTCTCTTTCTCGTGGTCCTACTGTGTGTACATATCTCCTCGTTCATCCCTCTGTGACCCTCTGTCTTTCCCTATTTCCTCCCCATGTTTCTTGGGCTCTCGTTGTCTCCCCATCAACCCTATCTGTCTCTTGCCTGTCTTCCTTGGTCCCATCTCTGTCTGCATGTGTTCTGTCTCTAACCCCGGCCCGCCTGGGTCTCCCTCCCGCCGTCTCTCCATTGGT